CAGACCCCATAGAGCAAGTCCATCCCATGCTAGGGCAGAGAGGCCAGTACGAGTCACAAAACAACCCAAACAGAAATAAATGAGAGGGACCCTAGAAATGCAGCCATAAAACATTAGTTTACGTTCTGCAGGTCCTGCTTCGTCCCATTTTCCAGGAGTTAAAGTTTGCTATGGCTGTTTGCTGCCGCGGGTGTAAATGCTGTGTTAATTCCTGCACCAGTGTGGATGCAGCTGCCTTTCATTGCACTGAAACATCAGAAATGTATAGCAAGATTTCAGTGACACTGCTTTGAGGATCAGGACTCAGCTGAAAAAAGCAGCATTGCTACTCCTAGGGATCAGTGCCAATTTTAAAGTCCAATATCTCAGGAGCCAGCAGAGCTAGGAATGAGTGCCGCGTTCCATAACCGGAGAGCTGGGAAGGTAGGCTAGGGGTCTAAGGCATTCATCTATGTCTAGGGTAAGTTATGAGACAACAGACCAGGAACTCAAGTCATTCCAATTAGCATCTTGTTTCTTCCCATTACCTGATTTTAATACCTGCTATCTCAAAAGCTATTAGCGCTAGAAACCGATGCTTTCTACGACCTGGGAGCTAGTGAACCCAGCTTTCAAGTGTTTGAAAGCTCAAAGGTAAGCGGCAGAAATCAGTGGAAGCTAGAAGTGGAAACTGTCTCACAGCCTTAACAATAGTGTATCCAATGGGGCTACATGAAGTCATGTATAGATACACCATTCAGTACAGAGCAAAGCAGGAACAAACTCTGCCTTCATTTAAAGACTGATTTGTGTACCTAATCTTTGTCATTTCCAATGGGCTCCTCTCCATAGCATCTTGGCTCAAAGCAAGTACTTAGTTAAATGACAATCCAGGTCCAAAAGCACCATGCCATCCACATCTTGTCGTTTGTTCTGGCTTCAGGGTATATTCTGCAAGGGCCATGATCGGGAAAAGGCTTGCACAGAGCTGTCTTGCACTTTGAGCTCTGTCCTTCCACCAAAAGTGTCATGCTCTGGTCCCTGAATATTTGATCAGCAACAGCAGTATTGCGGCTCACTGGTGGGTCACAGACGCTGATGATTCTAAAGTAAGTAGGCACAAGCCAAAGTAGATAGAACCCTGAGTGGATACATCAGCTCCAATCAGTGATCTGTGAATGTGGCCTGTGGATAGCTGCAGATTTGCAGGACTCTAAAAGTAGGACCTTGAAGACTAGGACCAGGATGTTGAATTAAGTCCAGGATTTGATAGGGAGCAAGTGTAGAGGGCAGAGGAATAAGGGAAATGTTTGATCTGTGCTGGACAAATTTGCTTTTACATGGAGAAGCCCTGAAAGATGAAAAAGATGAAAAACATACTTCTGTCTTCCAAACTGCAGTATTTACACAGCAATTAGATTCTAAGCCAACATGACCATTTTCATATTTACATGTCAGTGGAATTCAGCAGAGGTAGTAAAGCTGAGACAAAGCCCTGAGGCTTAATAATTTGCAGAGTGCCACCTGCAGTTAGGATTTAGAGAAGGCTGCCAAAACCATCAAGATGTTAAATAACTGAGCTCCTTCAAGGTATGTATAAACTGCAATCTGAGGTGTGACTGCAGCTGAGGTAAGTATACATGTACTGGCTTAAATCTAGCTAGCGTGGCTAGAAATGAAAACAGTAGCACAGGCTTCTGACCAAGCTGTACAAAACCTGCCCTGGACTCTGCCTGTGGACTCATGTTGCTAGCTGATACCACCACATCCATGCTGCTATTTTTAGCCGTGATAGCAGATTAAAGCTAGCACAGGTATGCCTACCCTACACTATGCTCATACCTTCAACTGAAGGGTAGACGTATCCTAACTATATGCAGTCAGTGGTTGCCCTACACCCTGACATGCTTAGCTACTTTCTAACCATAATCATACTTTGTATTAAAATATTCTTCACTGTGGGCTGAAACTAGAGAGGCAGTGAATTGCTGGCTACCAGCTGAGAGAAACAGTGCTTTCCATGAAGTGCTATCGTTTTCTAATCTTTAAGGCCAGGTTCTTACTGGAGTAGGAAGTGTGCATGTTGTTGTTGTTTCAGAAGTATCAATCCTTCCATATAAATATACGGGCTAGAAAGTGATTATGTTTAAATGAATACTGTCCATCAAACACAAAATCACATTTCTGCCTACATTTTTGTTGGCTCAAGTAACAACATTACTCTAATGGGGGAGTCAAATTGTTGTTCCTATTTTTTCCAGCTTGATGTTATGCAGCTAGTTAGCTATCTTCACCTTTCTTTTGTGCAGATTTTTCAGTCTCCTGAAAAATGAAAAAGTTAGGAATTCAAGTTGATGGCATCCCTTGAATCCAACAGCCTCACAAATCTGCATAGAAAGTATGATGTGCAGGATGAACAAAGACGCAGGGTAAACTGTCCCATTCAAGACAGGGACATGGATCCTAAATTCTGATAATTTCCCCTCCAAACCCATGCAATATGGTGATCACCATTAAGAGCTACAAAAAAGTCCAGCCTTTCTTCCAAACCCTGCAGGTTGTCAGATACACAAACAGATGCCAGGGCCAGACCTCTAGCGTCTTTCCCTCTGTGTTAAAATACCCTGTAACTCAGCTTTGAAAATGTTTGCTGTTATAGCTTTTCTGAAGTTGAGGGAATTTTGGAAAGTTACAAAGTGGCAGAGTTACAATTTCATTTTTCCTTTTACAACTCCGGGGAAAAATGAAATGACTGGAAAAAGGCTAACGTAGTGCCAATCTTTAAAAAAGGGAAGAAGGAGGATCCTGGGAACTACAGGCCAGTCAGCCTCACTTCAGTCCCTGGAAAAATCATGGAGCAAGTCCTCAAAGAATCAATCCTGAAGCACTTGCATGAGAGGAAAGTGATCAGGAACAGCCAGCATGGATTCACCAAGGGAAGGTCATGCCTGACTAATCTAATCGCCTTTTATGATGAGATTACTGGTTCTGTGGATGAAGGGAAAGCAGTGGATGTATTGTTTCTTGACTTTAGCAAAGCTTTTGACACGGTCTCCCACAGTATTCTTGTCAGCAAGTTAAGGAAGTATGGGCTGGATGAATGCACTACAAGGTGGGTAGAAAGCTGGCTAGATTGTCGGGCTCAACGGGTAGTGATCAATGGCTCCATATCTAGTTGGCAGCCGGTATCAAGTGGAGTACCCCAAGGGTCGGTCCTGGGGCCGGTTTTGTTCAATATCTTCATAAATGATCTGGAGGATGGTGTGGATTGCACTCTCAGCAAATTTGCGGATGATACTAAACTGGGAGGAGTGGTAGATACGCTGGAGGGGAGGGATAGGATACAGAAAGACCTAGACAAATTGGAGGATTGGGCCAAAAGAAATCTGATGAGGTTCAATAAGGATAAGTGCAGGGTCCTGCACTTAGGACGGAAGAACCCAATGCACAGCTGCAGACTAGGGACCGAATGGCTAGGCAGCAGTTCTGCGGAAAAGGACCTAGGGGTGACAGTGGACGAGAAGCTGGATATGAGTCAGCAGTGTGCCCTTGTTGCCAAGAAGGCCAATGGCATTTTGGGATGTATAAGTAGGGGCATAGCGAGCAGATCGAGGGACGTGATCGTTCCCCTCTATTCGACATTGGTGAGGCCTCATCTGGAGTACTGTGTCCAGTTTTGGGCCCCACACTTCAAGAAGGATGTGGATAAATTGGAGAGAGTCCAGCGAAGGGCAACAAAAATGATTAGGGGACTGGAACACATGAGTTATGAGGAGAGGCTGAGGGAGCTGGGATTGTTTAGCCTGCAGAAGAGAAGAATGAGGGGGGATTTGATAGCTGCTTTCAACTACCTGAAAGGGGGTTCCAAAGAGGATGGCTCTAGACCGTTCTCAATGGTAGCAGATGACAGAACGAGGAGTAATGGTCTCAAGCTGCAGTGGGGGAGGTTTAGATTGGATATTAGGAAAAACTTTTTCACTAAGAGGGTGGTGAAACACTGGAATGCGTTACCTAGGGAGGTGGTAGAATCTCCTTCCTTAGAGGTTTTTAAGGTCAGGCTTGACAAAGCCCTGGCTGGGATGATTTAACTGGGAATTGGTCCTGCTTTGAGCAGGGGGTTGGACTAGATGACCTTCTGGGGTCCCTTCCAACCCTGATATTCTATGATTCTATGAACTCAACTTTTCCACAGTTGGAAAAGGATTTGAAAAGTTACAGCAGATAAACGAAAACTGAAAAGAAATAAGTGAAAAGACAAACCCTAGACAGTCATTCTATTGAAGTCAGTGGAGGAAAAAAAGCAAAGAGTGGTCTGGAAAGGGAAAAAAACAAAAGTTTGAAATTTAAATTCAAATAAAATCTAAATGAAAATTTTCCTACAAAAAAATTCAAATGAACTTTCTTCCCATGATTTTTTTCCAGCTAGTCCCATTCCCTTTCTTGGCAAGAGGATAATAGTTACCTTTTGTAATGCACATTGAGCCAACTACTATGTACTAAGTGTCACTGGAATTATGTGGTGGGACAGAATCGGAAGAGGGCATGTAGTTTACTGTTAAGAACTGCCTGTTCCAGTATTGCCTTAGTTTATATAATGTTAAGTACACTATAGAAAAACAGACATTGGAGGAAAAGGGGTTGACAAGCCATTATTCCTAAAGTTCTGGAATGAAGCACAGAACAGAAGCCCAGACAACTTGGGGCTCATGTTCCACTTTGGAAAGATACAGGGTGTTAACTCTTGTTGCAAAGTTCAGCTTTCTGAACTTTTATTCTGGCTTCTTAAAGCTCTCTTCAGAACTCTGAAAACTATGTGTAAAGACACAGAACAGATGTTGTTGTTGTTGTTCCAGGCCAGGTTTCAGTCACATGATTCCTACACAGGGGTTATGAAGTGCTTCAGGCTTTTTCCATCACAGAAATGCTGGAGAAGAGTAAGGTGCTGGACACTGACCATTCTAATGCATCAGTGCTGTCCATGCGCTATTAAGCGAAGCAGGAATTTTCTAAAACAGTAAAAGTCAATGAATATGTAACTAATTTTATTCCATCTATAAACAGTATTTATTGTGTAAAACCTTTTTAGTTCATGAAAAGAATGCAGGGAACACCGCAGTGGAGACCTAGACATAGTGGAACCTGGCCCTGCCACATCCCCATCTCCTCCCTAGGAGCTAGTGCAGGAAACAGCAGTTTCCCTGTGCAGAGGGAACTCTCCACTGGCTGTCTCCAACCACTCTAAAGGGACTTGCCCAGTAAGTGTATGTGCCTTAGGCTTAGAGGATCGGAGGTCTAGATGATTGGTTTTGTAGATAGAAGCTTTAAAACTCAGTAAAATTATGGGTTTAAGAACACACCAGTGTATTCATTTCTTTAAAAACAACGGTAGGATGTACAATAAAAGACTTCAAGTACATTGTTCACTGTAAACTGGAGAGCAGGATTGAAAGTTCAGTGGCTGCTGTGAGAAAAACAAAACAAAGGATTCGTTGTACCCCTAGCACCCCTGGCAGCTTCATTAGCTGGTCTGCAATAAAATGTTCTTTTAGCACCCCCTATTAATTATTTGTAATTGAGGTTCATATTCCAGCTGTTAGAATACAACTAATTAGCACCTTGCAATGATGACATCAATAAACAGAAAACTTGCCTGGTAATAAGTGCAATGAGCAGCTCCACCGCTTTTGCTCCCAAACCAGATAAAACTTTTGTCAATCACACCTGTAATCCAATAGATCCCACTGCTTCGATCTTCTGCAGATTGCAGGGCAGCTGTATCCACCTGACTTGTCTCTCATACACTCTGGAGGATCCAAGGCCAAGGTATAGCTAGCTATCTTGAAACAGGAAACTAAGTACTTCTTTCTGTACAAAAAGAAGTCAACCTATTCTAATCACATTATATATTACAGGCTGAAAATCTGTTCCTAACTTCCACCGTGTAACAGAAAGGTAAAAGAATAGAGTAAGAATTCAGGTTGTAGTCCTAAAATTGATGTTCCAGATTTACAAAAAAAGTCAATTATCCCTGAAGTTTCATCTTTGGGTGTTCGTGCTGCTGCATACTTGTGCAAGACGAACCTAAAAAGGAGAAAGATTAACAAATAGCACTTGTAAAGAACACATGCTGCCATATCCTAAAGTAGGGGTGGGCAAACTACAGCCCAGGGGCAGCATCCGGCCCTCCAGACATTTTAATCTGGTCCTTGAGCTCCCTCTGGGGAGCGGGGTCCAGGGCTTGCCCAGCTCCGCGTGGCTCCTGGAAACAGCAGCATGTCCCTTCTCCAACTCCTACACATAGGGTAGCCAGGGGGCTCCGCATACTGCCTCCGCCCCAAGCGCTGCCCCCGCAGCTCCCACTGACTGGGAACCACGGCCAATGGGAGCTGCAGGGGCAGCGCCTGTGGACGGGGCAGAACTGCCTGGCCGCGCCTCCTCATAGGAGCTGGATGGGGGACATGCTGCTGCTTCTGGGATCTGCTTGTGGTAAGTGCCCAGCAGAGCCTGCCCCCCTGCCATGCCCCAACCCCCTGCCCCAGCCCTGATATCCCTCCTGCCCTCTAACCCCTCGGTGCCAGCCCAGAACACCCTCCTACACCCTCATCGCCAGCCCCACTCCATAGCCTGCACTGCCAGCTGGAGCCCTCACCCCCTCTTGCACCCCAACCCATAATTTCGTGAGCATTCATGGCCCACCATACAATTTCCATACCCAGAGGTGGCCCTCAGGCCAAAAAGTTTGCCCACCCCCATCCTAAAACCACCTACACTGGAAAAAAAGGAGGACATATTCACCCTTGAATTAAATCCTAAGCACTACCGGTAGCTCTCTCCCACTAATGAAAGCACTGTTTGTATACAGACCAGTTGAGTGTAAGACCCACCTCTGTGTATTTTGCTGACTAGGTGAACAGACCCACATTGTATAAAACCATATTTTCTGGGCGCGCCAAGATCCAGGCAAACACAAGAGGAAAAGAATTTAACAAGAAAGATGACTGGCAGAGTCTAATGGAAACTGATGGCCCATTAACTTGACTACAGGGATGATGACAATGCTAGGCACCACAACAGACCAGTTTCAATTCATAGCCAAGTAAATATTGACTTACTGATAACTTCTTCATAATTCCCAGGGTCTCTGGATTGAGATGACTCAAATTCCTTTTGGTCAGGTCACTGGCTGCTAAACGAATGTTCTGTACGAAAAAGACCACAAGTCTCAGTTACTGTTCAGCTGTGTCATACTGGTACATGTTAGCTTGTAAGTGAAACCAGTGAAAGAACCAAACAAGATTGAAGTATCTGGATTATATATTAGAAAGATTGATAGACCACTATATTTAAGAGCAGGGAATCATGTACTGCTTTTATAGCAAGTGATGGACCCACTGTCCTGGGAACAGGATAAGGTTACTGATAAACAGGACTAGTTACAAATAGAGGACCAGATGCAGCATGAGACCACAGACTTATCTCACACCTTTTCTGTATTGCACCATGTCACATACTGCTATCAGCCATTATTTTAAATTGCATTTGGTGCACTTCAAGACCCACTAAAATATTTCCCTACATTTTTAATAAGTTTCTGCTTTACCTCCCCTCCTCCGACAGGGACTGTAATGATGACATCGTTGCTGTTAGCAAGAGGGCTGCCGTTTGCAGAGACGATGTAAACATGCTCATGTGCGGCAGGCGTGCGTAGACCTGGTGTCTTGAAAAGCCTGAAAGACGTTCCGAAGTTATTGCTGAATAACTTTATTCTAGCCAATTAAAATGATCAGCAGTACGTTTCATGAGATTCTAGCCAATTAAAATGATCAGCAGTATGTTTCATGAGATTCTCCCCAACTAGAGATTTCAAACATCTCATTTTCAAGGGAAACAGGTTGGAGAAAAATGTGTATCTTGAAGTGCGAAACCAACAGAGCTTGTCAGAACCCAACTGTACTAACAAAAAACTCTGATTAAACTAGGACATGATTTATCTTATCTTCTTTTTTCTATTTATGACCTCCATCTACCCTCTTCTGTGGGACTTCAGGCTCTAAATCAATCAAAACTCTGAGGCCAAAACCTAAGGCTATTAAGTGATGTATTGTAGTCGTCTCAATATTCCATATTTTACACTGAAAGAGCTAATTCTGAGAAGACATTTGACATATTTAGGCCAACATTTCAAAAGCAGACTCTGGTTTTAGGTGCACAGCTCCAGACATCCTGAGCCCAATCTTCAGAAATGATGAGCACCCACAGCTCCCACTGACTACAGCTTTACTTGAGAACGATAAGATAAGCACTTCTAAAAATCAAGCCCAAGCGATTTAAAAAACCAAAAGCACCCAACCTAAAAACTAAAGCACCTGCTTTTGAAATTTTAGATCCCTATCATATCCCTCCCTTAGTCATCTCTGTTCTAATCTGAACTGCCCCAGGTTTTTTAATCTGTCCTCATATGGAAGCTGTTCCTTAGCCCTAACCATTTTTGTTGCCCTTCTCTGTATCTTTTCCAATTCTAATGTATCTTTTTTGAGATGGGGTGACCAGTACTGCAAGCAGTATTCAAGGTGTGGATGTACCATGGATTTGTATAGCAGCACTATATTTTCTGTCTCTCTCTTTTCTAATGGTTCTTAACATCGATAGCTTTTTTGACTGCCACTGCACATTGAGCAGATGTTTTCAGAGAACTATCCATGATGACTCCAAGATCTTTCATGAGTGGAACAGCTAATTAGACCCCACCATTTTGTATATAAAGTTGGTGTCACGGGTCCACTTACCATTGGGGTACTTTCTTGTGGCCACATCTGGGTATTAGCTCCACTAAGGTCTGATGTCCCCCCTCCCACTGGTGGCTCACATTGCATCCTCTCTCACTCTACAGGACATGTAGTGCTCCCTCCTCATGATTCAGCCCTCTGGCCAGGTCATTATGTAGTCCTCCCCTTCCAGGGTATTAAAGTCCCACTGGATCAGCTGTCCTCATCTTTTCCAGACAGTCTTCCCATCCAAGGCCAGGCCCTGTACCATTTTCCCAGTGGCTGGAAGGGGAACCCCAGCCCACACACTACTTTGGGTTCCAGTCCAGGGACCCTATGTCCAGCAATTATGGTCTGCTTGCTCCCTGTTGCTCTTTCCCTGGACTTCTTTCTACTTCTTTGCTCTATCTTCTGGCTCCCCCGGGCCCGAGTTTACCAATCCAAACTTCCTCCACCCAGGGAGGGACTGCAGACTACTTCTGCAGCTCATGTTCTCAGCTTGCTGGCTTTATATGAACTCAGCCTGCCTCTGCTCAGCTGGACTCCACTTAGTGCTTGTCCATCAAGCCCAAGTCTCCACGCAGGTGCAGCCTACCAGGTTAATTGACCTAATTTAACCTGCTCTGCCTTGTGTGGCGTGGACACCCCATCACGGCTGAGACTGTTTTCCAATGTACATTACTTTGCACTTATCAACTCTAAAATTTCATCTACAATTTTGGCGCCTGATCACCCAGTTTTGTGAGATCCCTTTGCAATTGTTTGTAGTCTTCTTTGGACTTAACTATTAAGTAATTCTGTATCATCTGCAAATTTTGCCACCTCATTGTTCACCCCCTTTTGCAGATCATTTATGAATATGTTGAACAGCACTGGTCCCAGTACACATCATTGAAGGATCCTGCTATTTTACCTCTCTCCACTGTGAAAACTGACCATTTATTCCTGCCCTTGGTGAAAAGATAGGAAACAAGTTACTGACTCATGAGAGGATCTTCCTTCTTATCCCATGACTGCTTACTAGTCTTTGGTATGGGACCTTGTCAAAGTCCAAGTACACTAAATCCACTGGATCACCCTTGTCCACATGCTTGTGACCACCCCCTCAAAGAATACTAATAGATTGGTGAGGCATGATTTCCCTTTACGAAGGCTATGTTGACGCTTTCCCAGCATATCTGCTAATTGTTCTTTACTATAGTTTCAACCAATCTGCCTGTTCCTGAAGTTAAGCTTACTAGCCTGTAATTGCCAGGATTGCCTCAGGGCCTTTTTAAAAACTCGGTGTTCTATTAGCTATCCTCCTCTCATCAGGCACAGAGGCTGATTTAAGCAATAGGTTACATACCACAGTTGTTAGTTTTGCACGCATCAGATGCACATATTTGAACAATGGAAAAAGAAGAGGGAGAAGGGACAGTGTGGAGATGGTTCAAACAAGTAGACTACAATTTTGCTGATTGCACAGTACAAGACTGAGCACAGTAAGCCATGCACAAATGAATACAGAATCATGAAGTCTCAAATTCCAATCCTGGCTCTGCTGGTGACACTCTAATAGTAGTCAAATAATCTCACTTCTCTACCTCAGTTATCTCATCCTTAATATTTCAGGGTTGTGACGGTTAGTCAATATTTCTACAGCACTTTGAATATGTGAAGTGTTATATTATGGCTCTTATAACACACATCAGATAGGAACAGCCACTGCCATGGGGCAGAATGGTAACAAGCTGATCTACATTGCAACTGTTCTGTCCCAGCTCATGGAAAACTAATGGCAAGACACACTAGATGCCTTGACACCTAGCAAATTCTGATACTTAATAGAGACATTTTGCAGAATACTATAAATATACAGCAACGTGGCTTTGCTAATTAATGCACACTCACCTGGAATCAAATTTAGGGGTGACAGTGGAGGTCCTTCCCCATGTGCGGGCACCAGCGACTTGGCCAAGGGCTGGAGTGACAAAATTATTTTTGCTTGACCTGCTCAAAGAGAGTGGCAGTGATAAGATGATGCCCTTTTAAAAGACCAGTTTAGCAGTTGCTTCTCAGTTCTGAACATCTGTTTTATTAGTTAGAAAAGCTGAGAACAATGTGAGGGTATTTGGAAACTAGAGGTTTCTCCTGATTTCAGATAATGCCTCTTGACATGGCAGCAAAGACTGCAGTTTTATGACAGCTTGATTCAGTGTAAAACCCCACACACCCTCAAAGAGAATAGCTGATCAGTCACCTTACCATACTATGAGACTGCCCTCTGTAGAGCTCCTCCATTTACCCCTACCATACCTTTGTTAGCTCCTCCAGCACAGTACGCTTTGTCAGCCAGATCACTCTCTCCTCCATCCATCCACCCCAACCATGGCTACTTTGGCAGTATCATTTCTGGTCTCCCCTTTCCATCCCCACATTGAAAGAGAGGGATTCACACCACTCCAGACTCTTACCTTTTACTAATGCGTTTCACTCTCGCTGATGGAGCTCTTCTGCTCTTCGAAACTGGCACTTTTTTGGTTGATGTCTTCACCTGGAACACACAGAACTAACTGAATTATTTACTGTTTCTTGATCAAACCACAGCTGAACTCCAGTTCTGAAGAAGTGCTCCCATAACTGAACTAACACTGGTAATAGGAACTGAAGAACAAGACTCACTGTTCCCCTTCTCAGATGATCAAAACTATGGAAAACCTGTCCCTTTTGAGTCTTGGCTTTATCATAGCCTAGAGCTGAGCTGGGGAAGACACAGGGATTTGTGCAGAATTCTTTTCCATAGATATCAAAATTCTAATAGTTAGTTAGAGCAGTCTTGGGTAAAGAGACTCCTGCTCCCAGAACATGATGGAAGTTGAACATACAATTTAAGAGAAAAGGGATATAAAATGTTTCTTTACACTTTCAGAAGTGGTTGGGTTCTACCTCATAACAGAATCTATCTAAGGCACTCAGATACCATGTGGACTCTGATCTCATGACAAACAGAATTCAGGCTATGAAGCAAAGGGAGAAACTAATTTCTCGTTGAAGGTTTGGAGACACACAAAATATATGAAAATACCCTGAAGTCCCCTGACAATTTGTGGTTTTACACATTTTAAAAGAAATTCTCTCCCCAACGGGTCTTTCACACAGAAACAAACTAGGGAAATTGACTGTACAGTACAGAGGGGAAACAGTGAAAGAGACTACCCAGAGAGCTTTTACAAATGTACAAGAAAACAAAATGAGAAATCTCTCTCTTCCCATTATAGTCATCTTGGATATTACAAATAGAATAGATAACATTTTCAGATGGTCATGTGATTTAAGCTGCATCTGAAAAATACATATATTCTTCTGCAAAATAAAACTAGTTGTAAAGTTATATTTTACAAATTTTAAATAAAAAGATTATATAAACCTATACTGCTGATTAAAACAGGTAGCTAGCCTACGGCAAGCAAGCTATAAGCATCACCTCCATCAAAAGTCAACTCACTTCCTGCCTGGGCCATAACCACAACAAGATCAGTTATTTACCTTCCCTGTTTTGGGATTAACATTTTCATGTTCTGGTTCTGGTTCTTTGCTATCCTGTTTCCTCTTCTTTGCTACAGGGAGCAAACTAAGTTCTGTTTCTTCTTCAATAGCATCAATATCCTGTTTGGATTTTTTAGCTAGAAGGAGAAAAAAGTGTCCAAACTGAAAAAATTTGAAGCATATTAAAATATCCACGAACAGATAAGGTGAAAAGAAAACAGTCGTGAAGTTTGTTTGGCAAACAAATTATTGAACTAGTAGTTACATACTTATATAGAAATAAAGTAGGATTTTATAAGGAAAGGGGTTTTATGGATGGCATAAACAAATGTGAACAACACTTCTATAAGATTTAGCAAATCTAAGTTAACACGCTCCACATGTAACATCACAAAAACTGAAGCAACAATTGTTTCTTTGAAACCTATTTAGGCCAGTTAATGAGAGTTGGAAGATAGTTGACAAGATCCATAAGGAACAAAAAAACATTCCACTATTGATTGCACCCAGAACATTCAGCAATGCTTGTAAACAAACTGACCTTTCTTGACAATTCTGAAAGGCGTCTGGATAACTTCTGCTGTAAGTTTGTTTATTTCTGATAGCTCCAAATCTGCCTAAAACCAAAAGCAATCACAATACCATGTGTATTATTAGTAAAGAACTCATTCCTAACTGCCTGCAAACAGCAGTGTAAACCCATAATTATTTTACAATAAAAATGCTTCTATGCTGCTTTGCACTTTGCTATGTAAACACTTCTCTGGTATTTTAGAAATGGTAACAGCTTGCAGGACCTGCACAGCACTTAGTACTGAAAGACTTTATTCACCTGCTACAGCTATTCCCAACCCCCAAACATTTCAGTCCAATCCCAACATAGAAGTTTTCTGGTTTACAAAGAAATGCATATTCCCTGGTGAATGAGGCAGGGCAAGATAACAGTAAGGAAACATTGTTTAACTGATAGTCTGTTTAGTCAATTAGTATCACTGGTAGGCAAGCCAAGATTTCATTGCAGAAAAATGGCTTCCTATAAAAAGACTGTTAAAATTGAAAACTTTCAGCTATCTGGGCCATGAGAGAAAGTAGGTCAGGACACTTGCTATTTTCCACTTCTTTAAAAATCAAAGGCAGACACCCACTATCAACTGCAGAGACCCAGCTTGAATTACAAGGTCAGTTTTGTGAAACTTGAGAATCCTCTGAGTAAGACAAGCAAAGAGGTAGTTACAGAATTCAGGAACAAGTCTTCCAGCTACCAAATGCTTCAGACTCAGGGCTTCTCTACACTTGAAACACTGCAGCTGAGCCACAAGGAGCTTCGGTATAGACACTCACTACAGCAAAGGAAGGGTTTTTTCAATCAGCATAGTTAATCCATGTCTCCAAGGCAGTAGCTAGGTGGTGGAAGAATTCTTCCATCAACCAAGGGCTGTTTATACTGGGGCTTAGATCAGCTTAACTATGTGGCTCAGGGGTGTGCATTTTTCACATTCCTGAGTGATGTAGCTGAGTTGACTTAACTTTTGAGTGTAGACCTGGCCTCAGTAAAGATTTCGGAGAAGTCTGTATTAGGTGGCAGCCATAACAATGAAGTGAGTTTCAATAGTCATTAAAGTGCACGGCACGGGAGACTGGATATGTATCTTGGAAAAAGGAGTGTCAAAGATTTACCATAAACCAAGTAATTGAAGGAGAAGGCTAGCACTTTGGCCAGACAGGAGAGACTACAAACGTTTCATGTCTTATTTAATCCTTTCACCAAGTGCTGTGCTAAGACTCTTAAAATGATGCAATGGTTTAAATAAAGATTGGGTTCCTAAAAACATTATCCAGTTGTACCAGAAAAGAAGTTTTTATTTGGCTTAGGAGCTACACTAGATGTATGTTACCTACCGTTGCTGCTTCTTCTAGGGCCTTTTTACTTCCTCCTTTAGCTGGAGACAGAACATTTTTTTATCAATGTATAACCAGAGTAATTTATGCAATATTAAAGTTTTAATACTTGGGTAGAATTAAACAAACAGGCAAACAATGAGCATTTCTTGACAGTTAATGACCATCTTAAGATAAAGGAACTAGTGGGAAAGCAGGATTTATCGTAAACAGAAAATCTGTGGTTGTCTACGAATCCATGTGGATAGGATATTCAATTTGCCTCTTCTTGTTCCCAAAGGTTTTTTTTTTAAACACATGATTTTGTACCCAGTTAACCCAGTGCCACACCTCTTATCTCATGTGCCAATGAGTTTAAGACATCCAAAGGAAAAACATTTGAAGCCTTATTTTGAATTAGCACTTTCATACAAATAAACTTATCCAATATACTGACTTTAAATGTGATGTGTTACAAAAGAAATAATTTACTGTAATTATAGATAACAACGTAAATAGTAATTACGTTTCTGAAAATCATGCAACTAGGATATGTCATTAAACAGAGTCCACTAACTGGATGAATATGACTTATTAATTCACTTTTAGCTCTAAATTTAGTACATTTTTGAACTATTTTGTCAATACATATTGGAGTGGATGGACCATACCAAAGTAGTCAAGCCAGTTCATCTCTCTCAGTGCTAGAGGAAGTCGGAGGTTTTCTATGTTATAAAGATTATCCAATTCCTTGAGAAGATTTTGCCCATTTGTTTGTAGCTGATCAATTCTAGTTTGGACTAAAACAAAAAAAAGAAAAGAATTTTGATTGATTACTACATAGAACACAAATGTTATTCAGGGATTTACATATCAGGGCTTGAATTTATATTTCTCTGAATATCAGCAAAAATCTACTCCCTTGTGAATGCGCTTTTCTGATCAAATCTATTTCATTCTTGCCAAATAAGCCTTTTTGAGCACTTATATTTTCATTTGCTGTGAGCCAATGGTAGAAAATTAACTGGACTGTATAAAGGTATGTCTGCAGTGCTTCTGTGTAGACACTCCCTAAACCAACAGGAGGGTTTCGCCCATTGGTGTAGGCAATCCACCTCCCCAAGAGGCAGTCACTAGGTTGATGGAAGAATTCCACAAGGTGGAACAGATTGTCACCTACCACCCATATTGGAACCCATATCATTAAACAATTACAACCCACACTTGATGGGGACCACATCCTGAAAGAAATCTTTCCTGAACCCCCTTTCCTGCCCTTCAAACAACCCCCCAATCCCACCATCAGAAAAAAGTTCTGCACAGACCAAGACACATTAACTCAAAGCAGCACCAGACACTGCCAGAACAACAGATGCAAAACCTGTGGACCTCTCCACTGCTGCGATGATGAACACCCCTTACAAGACACCTCTCAAAATCCCTGGCTTCTAAACAATTCTATCACAACATGTGGTGTATCTCAGCCAGTGCACTAAGTGTACCTCGATAACAACAACTATGTGGGTGAAATCAGGTAATCACTAAGCTCTTGAATGAACTCACACAGAAAAATGATAAAAGACAAAAATACCATATCACCTGTGTGGTACACACTTTCCAAAGTGATCATTCTATGTCTGACCTCTCAGTCCTCATCCTCAAAGGAAACCCATGCAACACCTTCAAAAATCGAACTTGGGAACTTAAATTCATAACTTTGCTAGATACTAAAAATCATGAACTGAATATACACACACTGGATTTATGGTTTATTACAAAAATCTATAAAACACTAAACCTCCCCCCTATAACTGGAAAGGTATTAACAGGCCACTTCACATTGAATGGTCCCTTGAAATATGTATTAACTATTTATGCTGGACAATCTGTTCTACCTTGCATTTAGCTGTGACACAGAGTACATTTCCCAGATCTGAAGAAGAGCTCTATGTAAGCATGCAAGCTTGTTTCTCACCAACAGAAGTTGGTTCAATAAGAGATATCACTGCATGGACCTTGCCTCTCCAAATAGCCTATTGACAAGCACCCAATATTAATATTTAACAGCTAACAGTTGTTAGGATATAGATAATTCAGGCCTGTCTGTAAAGGCCTATACTCTAAGAATTTAGGTGTATTCTTATCACTTGGCTAGTTATAGAGGTATAAAAGAAAGAATCAAAATCACTGTCTGCAGTGTAAGGTCCTTCTCTTACTGTGACAGTCTGAGGCCCTGTTCTTAGGCTAAGGCCTTTGGCTAAGCAACAGAGGCAGCAGTAAACTGGGAAGCAATTGGTCACATCCTCACATTCCAACCTAGTCACATTGAAATAAGGTGCTATTGGGCCGTTAGGAATACAATCCTGTCCTGATAATGCCTATCACCTCCAGAGAAAGGAAAGTGCCTAGAAGATGTAAAAGGAAACTTAGTTTGATAGCATCCTGTCTGGCAAGAACTCACTTATCAATAGCTGGGATGTGAAATCCTCACTTCTGTATTGTTTTGTCATTATAGTTCCCACTTTGCTATTGTTCGTCTGGTTCTGTGATTGTTCCTGTCTGCTGTATAATTAATTTTGCTGGGTGTAAACTAATTAAGGTGGTGAGATATAATTGGTTAAATAATCATGTTACAATATGTTAGGATTGGTTAGTTAAATTTCAGGAAAATGATTGGTTAAGGTATAGCTAAGCAGAACTCAAGTTTTACTATATAGTCTGCAGTCAATCAGGAAGTTAGGGGGTGGGGGGAAATGGGAACAGGGAATGGGGGTGGGGAAATTAGAATCATGTTTGGCTAAAGGGCATGAATGGGAACAGGGACCCAGGTGTAAGGCTCTGTGGTGTCAGAGCTGGGAAGGGGGACACTAAGGAAGGAAACTGGAATCATGCTTGCTGGAAGATCACCCCAATAAACATTGAATTGTTTGCACCTTTGGACTTCGGTTATTGTTGCTCTCTGTTCATGCGAGAAGGACCAGGGAAGTAAGTGGGTGAAGGAATAAGCCCCCATAACAACCATGACCTCTAAAAAGAGTTCCTATTTTAGTTTAATTCCTAGAAGACCTGCATCAACATTGCAGCATACTCATCACAACTAGCCCCCTGGATAGAAGCCTCAGGAAAGGTCAAGGATTGCATAAGCATCGAGAATTAAACCACCTTCTCCAATCCCTCAAAGTCATCCTTCTGGATCAAAGCTACAGTTTGTGCTGTATCTGTCCTGCCTGTACAGGACTTCAGAGTCCTGAGGTGTCAGTTTCCAGGGTTGTTAAGACAATAACTTTAACCAGCATTAAATTAACCTGGAAAACAACTCAGGACCCTGAACCCTTTGTAGAAAGCAAGTTTATGAATGAGTGCAAAGGTTACCTTCACGATCAAAGTCCTTTAAAAACGCAGCAAGCTTTTTCTTTTTCACATTGTTTTTGCTGGTTCCATTGGCTGTTTTCTTCCTGGATGGTGCCATGGTGTCGGATGGAGCTCTGCAGCAGAACAGAAACAGCCAGTTGGGTTCATACAAGGGAACACTTGGCCAGTCAGAGACAAGAGGCCCTAGTCTTCTGGGAGGCTGGGAGCTACTGCTGCTCTATCCCTATTGAAAACCAGGGCTCCTGGGACTACTGCAAGCCACAGCAGAGAGTCGGCATTGGTGCCCCACACAGGGGAGTGGTTCCCCAGCACCAGGACCAGGCAGCAGACGCACCACTGGTGGCCTGGGGCTGAAAGCCTGGCAGGGGCTTGTCTGAACATAGGGCTGCTCCTGATCAGCTCCAGTGGTGGGGGCTCTGGGCCGGTGAAGCTAAACAGGCCCACAGCGAAGTGAGGACGGGTCAGAACCAGCCCGGGCCTATCCCAATCCGCATCACCTCTCTCTGGAGTAGACAATGCCATCTGGGAACCACCTGCCCGGCACCCGGCACCCGGCCAGGGCAGTGGTTTTCAACCCTGTGGTCCTGGTGACCCCCCGCTTTTCACATAGTCGCCTCGGAGTGTGACTCCTTCTGAATTAAAATGGAGGGATCGTTTCACTGGGGCATGGAGCTGGCAGCTCGCCACCCCTGTGCGGGGCAAGGCTGGGGCGGAGGGACAAGGACCGGGGAGCGAAAACGTGACAGAAGGGAGGTTCTGCATGTCCCCCCCGAGCGGGCCCCTCTGCCCCCCCCGCCGCCCCGAGCGGCCCCCCCGCCCCAACAGCCCCCCGAGCGGGCCCCCCCGCCTCCCCGAGCGGGCCCCTCTGCCCCCCCCGCCTCCCCGAGCGGGCCCCCGCCCCAACAGCCCCCCTGCCCCCCGAGCGGCCCCCCCTACGGGCCCCTCCACCCCAACAACCCCCCGAGCGGCCCCCCGCCCCAACAACGCCCCCCGAGCGGGCCCCCCCCCTCCCCCGAGCGGGCCCCTCTGCCCCCCCCGCCTCCCCGAGTGGCCCCCCCGCCCCAACAGCCCCCCGAGCGGGCCCCCCGCCTCCCCGAGCGGCCCCCCCCCCCCCCCCCCCCAGCCCCCCCGCCCCAACAGCCCCCCCGAGCGGGCCCCCCGCCTCCCCGAGCGGGCCCCTCTGCCCCCCCCCGCCTCCCCGAGTGGCCCCCCGCCCCAACAGCCCCCCGAGCGGCCCCCTACGGGCCCCTCCACCCCAACAACCCCCGAGCGGCCCCCCGCCCCAACAACGCCCCCCGAGCGGGCCCCTTTGCCCCCCCCCCCCCCGCCCCAGCGGGCCCCCCGCCCCAACAGCCCCCCCTGCCCCCCGAGCGGGCCCCCCGCCCCAACAGCGCCCCCGCCCCCCCGAGCGGCCCCCCCGTCCCCCCTGAGCGGCCCCCTCCACCCCAACAGCCCCCCCTAGCGGCCCCCCCGCCCCAACAGCCCCCCTGCCCTCCGAGCGGCCCCCCCCGCCGCTCACCGGCTCGCTCCCGGCGTCCCCAACGCGCGCGCGAGCCCCAACAACTACTTTCAAACCCGACCGCCCAATCAGCGAAGCGGCGGGACGGCGCCCAAACGCGCACGCGCTCCCGCCGCCAATGGAAAACGGAGCACGAGAGAGAACTACAATTCCCAGCATGCCTCGGGGGCAGGCAGGTAGGTGACTTCCGCTTCGCGCGAGCGCCCGTCGCTGGGGCTGCCGGTTTCACTTCCGGTCTGAGGGGAGCTGGCAACTACACTTCCCAGGGCTCAGGTAAGGGAGGGCCCTGGGGTTCGCCTGCCCCCCCCGGGGCCCTGCTCCCCTCCCCCACAGGCCCCGCATCGAGACCCCCCCCGGGGCTCCCCTCCTCCGCCGGCCCCGCATGGAGACCCGCCCCCCCCGTCCTGCTCCCCCCCCCATTGGCCCCCCGTGGAGACCCCCCCCGGGGCCCTGCTCCCCTCCCCCCACTGGCCCCCGTGGAGACACCCCCCCCCGGGTCCCTGCTCCCCCCATTGGCCCCCCGTGGAGACCCCCCCGGGGCCCTGCTCCCCTCCCCCATTGGCCCCGCATGGAGACACCCCCCCCCCCCCCCCCCCGTGGCCCTGCTCCCCTCCTCCGCCGGCCCCGCATGGAGACCCCCCCCCCCGTCCTGCTCCCCCCCATTGGCCCCCCGTGGAGACCCCCCGGGGCCCTGCTCCCCTCCCCCACTGGCCCCGCATGGAACCCCCCCCCCCCGGGTCCCTGCTCCCCCCCATTGGCCCCCCGTGGAGACCCCCCCCCCGGGGCCCTGCTCCCCCCCCCCCACAGGCCCCGCATCGAGACCCCCCCGGGGCCCTGCTCCCCTCCTCCGCCGCCCCGCTGGAGACCCGCCCCCCCGTCCTGCTCCCCCCCCATTGGCCCCCGTGGAGACACCCTCCCCCCCGGGCCCTGCTCCCCCCCCCCACTGGCCTCGGATGGAGACCCGACCCCCGGTCCTGCTCCCCTCCCCCATTGGCCCCCGTGGAGACACCCCCCTCCCCCCCGTGGCCCTGCTCCCCTCCTCCGCCGGCCCCGCATGGGACCCGCCCCCCGTCCTGCTCCCCCCATTGGCCCCCCGTGGAGACACCCCCCCCCGGGGCCCTGCTCCCCCTCCCCCACTGGCCTCGCATGGAGACACCCCCCTCCCCCCCTCCGTGGCCCTGCTCCCCTCCCCCGGGTCCTGCTCCCCGTCCCCATTGGCCCCTGCATAAAGACCCTTCTTCTCTTTCCTCCAGCTCTGTCAGGGCTCTCACCTCAAATATGTTCACCCCCATAAGCAGCAGTCCACCCCGAATTCCCCCCCACCTTTCCCATTTCTAAAGCAAACTCTTGTCTAGGAGCTGCCTGAGCTCCTGGAGGCCTGCGCTCCTAAGCCAGTGGCGCTGGTCTGTGGAGGGGGATGGTGAGTGTGGACAGTGGCTGCTTACTGGAAGGCGGTGGGGACCCTCAGCCCTAGGATCTCTGTACCTGTGTGTGCATATTGCAGGTTTCTGTGTGGTGCCCATCACCAGAGCCTCTCTCTTCCTGCAGCTCTGGGTCTGCCTATAAGAAGATGTCAGAGAGCCCAGCCATCCTAGTCCTTCATCGGTCCCTGCAAAAGTGCTTCCAGGCCATACAGCAGCAGCAAGAGGCTTGGCAGACGGCGCTGACGGACTGTAAGCCTCTCCTGAGCTCCCTCAGCAATCTGGCGGAGCAGATGCAGGCCTGCCAGAAGGTCACATTTGCACATACACCACTGCGAGGCTTCCCGGATCTGGAAGAGCAGTTAAAATATAAGCAACGCTGTGCAGCAGAGACTCTGCTGGAAGAGCTGGTGGGCAAAGTGTAAGAGGCTGTTGTGTCAGGTTGTGAGCACTATGAAAGCCTGGGCAAACATGCTGAGAGAGGTGGGATTCCCCTTCTGGCCTGTTTGCAGGATTCACATCTGAAGGAGAGGAGATAATGTCAACCTAAGCATCACGTTTCTGTCTGGAAATGTTGTACCTATTGTTCTAACAATATGTAAAATCATAACAACTGAAAGTGAGCAAAAAATTGTCCCCTGCCTTTCAATTTGTTTACTTTGACTTTACATGGTGGGCCAGATTCTCAACTGGTGTCAATCAGTGTAGCCTCATTGAGTTCTGTTGGACCTTTGTTCATAGAATCATAGAATATCAGGGTTGGAAGGGACCTCAGGAGGTCATCTAGTCCAACCCCCTGCTCAAAGCAGGGCCAATCCCCAATTTTTGCCCCAGATCCCTAAATGGCCCCCTCAAGGATTGAACTCACAACCCTGGGTTTAGCAGGCCAATGCTCAAACTACTGAGCTATCCCTCCCCCCAAATTGTTGATTTACAATAGCAAAGAATCTGGCCGAGTGTTGTCAAATATTCATTTTCACCCTTTGTCCTCATTTTGTGTCAGTGTGTTTGTGTGGGATGAGCATTTTAAAAAAGGAGAAATATATAATTGTAAAACCACAAGAATTATTAGGGGTCTCAGCCATGTGTAATACTTAATAGTTTAGAGGAGTTAATAGTACTCATTAGATTTCAAGTTACAGTGTCTCTTTAAATTATGTGATTTGTTCAGCCTCTCAGCAGCATGTTCTATACGATCAGTTATACAGTCACATAGGCTTGCCTTTTCCTTGCATGAGTTCCCTAGTTCCAGTTCAGGTTACTGCATATTGTTGAACTCACCAAACTGTCAGTGCAAGGGGAAGCACTTTTTTTGTTTAAAGCAAGTACTGAGACTTGTCCATGTAATTCATTTTGGGGTACAAAGTGAGTGAGGCCACCCTTTGGAAAACACAGCCGTGAGTATGACTCTCTGTTTTCACAGAGCTGACTTGCAGAAAGTGCGGGATGTAGTTAGTGGCTACGTGGGCACTGTTTTCCAACTCTATGAGCAGCATGCGGATGTGCTAGGTTTTGAAGCTTCTGTGCAGCGTACTGCTCTTATCCCCTCGCTGGCAGACATGTTGGAATGGCTGCACAATATTGAGAGATATTACCGACATGTGTATCCTTTGCTAGAAAAGCTAAAAGTTTGTAGCTCAAACAGGTCAAGGAGGTTGTTGTCTTGATTCATGTCAACAGAACTGGATTTGGCTTTCTTTATTTGTGAGTTGTCATCAGCTGGTGACCAGTAAGGTCACAATAAAACCTCACCAAGCATCTTGATGGACAGCTCTGGCAAATTGCTCCTGCCTCCACCTTCAGGAGTCAGTCTCCTGGCCCTGCTGTTTGGCCAAGGGAAATGAGATGAATAGGGAACATTTTTAGTAAGTGAATTTCTCAAAGAATCTAGAAAATACAGTCCATAGAGGGGGAAGAAGCTTAGATACTTGGGGTGACTATCGTTAGTATGTTTTGACAAGGAACAACAAATAGAGCTCTTTCAGCATGTTCTGGTGGGAGGGGGAGTTGGACTGCAGGACTACAATGGGTCCCTACTCTCTCTTTTGAGCTCATAACTTCCTAAGAAGTCAGCTTGCTTGTGTTTCCTTCTCACCTCCCACCGGCCCCATATTTCAATCCTTACCTTCCAGAAAGATACCTGGAGAGTAAATTCCTTCTTCTCCAAGTCAGATATGAGAACTTGCCAGACATGCAAACCCTGCCGCAGTCCTGGGAGAGGATTTTGGAGAACAATAGCCGAAACATGGTTCAAGGTATTTTCATAAAACTCTTAAACATCTTAATGTGAGCTTAGTGCTATTGAAAGGGGCTGGTGTGGTGGCCCTGGAGACTGAAAGCCACTGTTTATCACCTGAACCTGTACTGTATTGGGTTTGTTTAGTCTGGAAAAGGGAAGACTGAGGGGGGGACATAACAGTTTTCAAGAACGTAAAAGGTTGTTATAAAGAGGAGGGAGACATTTTTTTTTCTTAACCTCTTAAGGACAGGACAAGAAGCAATGGGCTTAAATTGCAGCAAGGGAGGTTTAGGTTGGACATTAGGAGAAACTTCCTAACCGTCAGGGTGGTTAAGCACTGGAATAAATTGCCTAGGGAGGTTGTGGAGTCTCCATCATTGGAGACTTTTAAGAGCAGGTGAGACAAACACCTGTTAGGGGTGGTCTAGAGCAGTGTTTCTCAAGCTATCTGATGTGGGGGACTGGCAATTTTTTTTCCAATGTGTGCGCAGACCTGCAGCCGATGGCTCGTGGACTAGCACCGGTCCATGGACCAGCACTTTGAATAGCACTGGTCTAGATAAT